AGAGAGAGAGAGAGAGAGAGAGAGAGAGAGAGTGTGTGTGTGTGTAAAATTATTTGTAAATTAATCTGAATGATACATTTTACTGGATAATACAGTGTTGACCGAAGTGTTGAAACATGTTTGTGCAGATAATGGCAAAGTGGCAAAGGAGCTGAGGATCCAAATTTCAATTTGTATTGTAGAGAGTGCTTTTGATTTGGATGTGATTCCACAATAGGCTGCTTTCTATGAGGCAACATGGCCTACTGAGCAGGGCACTACACTATGATTCCAGAGACTTGGGTTCTATTCCCTGGTCTACCACTGGCCTGCTGGGTGACCAGGGCCAAACCAACTCACTTCTGTTTCCCCATCCATAAAATGGGGATAATGTAATTACTTCCTTTGTAAAATGCTTTGAGGGCTATGCGTGAAATATGCTATACAAGTATTATTCATACCCATAAATTAAACTTTACAATGTACCAGGTCAGTATATAATTAGATTTGTTTTGTTAAGACTTGAGTAGACACAACCAATCAATGGAATAATCAAAGGTATAGGCATTAACTCTGATTAAATCATGGCTCCTGATAGCTTCCCCAAAGCAAAAGCTTTAGAATTTAATAAAAAGCAGTGTTTTATAGCTGGTAAGTGAGAATCAAAATGGCAAGAGAAATAAAGTGTCATACAAGCTTAGTTAAAGCTAAAAATGTCTTCCAGGAAGATCAAACAGTAAATCACTAACACTAAAAATCACTTGTGTTCAAGAGAGATATTTCAGAAGCAATTAACACTATTAATGCGTCTTGTAATAAAAAAACAAACAAATAAGATTGAGGTATTATAGTTGGGATTTTTTCAACAAAAACACTTTTTGACACACAGCAGAATATTTTTGGTTAAAAGCTTCGCTTTTTTCCCTCCTGGCATTGAGAAACTCTATTTATCTGTACTTTTTTTTAATCCATTAACATAATAAAAATGGATTTACAGCAAATGTTTCCAGTTCTATGCTATCCATTGAAAAGAAATACACCAAGTGAAGTGTGTGAAAGAAGGCAATAAAATGAGAATGAACAAACCACTGAAGCCATAGTATCGAAGGCTTTTTTCTGTTCAAGGGCACCTTAAATTATTACTTTAAACTACTATGTTACGTGCTCAGACAAAATACTGTTTGATTTTTCCATTTAGTTTCAATGTTTAAAAACACAGGCATACTAGATGTAGGCACATATTACTCTGAAACCATCTTGTAAGTGCTTCATGCTACAGCAACCAGTTGGCATCATATAAAGTCTTCTGTTATGAATGTATCACTCTGACCTGCTACTGCAACAACCTTAATATCAACAAGATTGATAGAATAGTGATGGCAGAAGGAAACATTTCAACAAACAGAAAACTGTCCACTCAGGCATTTTTACTGTGCCCATATCCATAGTAGTGAGGCACCAGATCATAAGAAAATGATTCTGTCCAAAGGAACTGTATTCTCCACCCATCTCTTGTTTTGTGTGATTAGTAAGAAGAATATTTAGTTTATTTTTACTTCCAAAGGACTGTGCTACAAAAATGTAACACTTCAGCATAACTTACTATACACTGAATAGACATTTCACCTTGAAAACTTATCATACTCGTACAATGAAACTTTCTGTAAAGATAATATTAGAAGCTTACCTCTTTCAGTATTAGGTACTCCTAAATCTATAGTAGGAATGGAGGTCTCTGCATAATCACTATAATATTCAACAAGGGTAGCCTCACCTTCCCAGGTCTGCTTTACAATCGGTACTGAAAAATAATTAGTCGTATTGAAACATAAGAATGGCCATACTAGGTCAGACCAATGGTCCATCTAGCTCAGTATCCTGTCTTCCAACAGTGGCCAATGCCAAGGTGCTTCAGAGCCAATGAACAGGGCAATTATTGAGTGATTCGTGCCCTGTTGTACACTTGCAGCATCTGGCAGTCAGAGGCTAGCGACACTCACACCATGGGGTTGTATGCCTGACCTTCTTGCCTAATTGCCATTCATAGACCTATCCTCCATGAACTTACCTAATTATTTTTTTAATCCAGTCATAATTTTGGCCTTCACAACATTCCCTGGCAATGAGTTCCACAGGTTTACTGTGCAGTGTGTGAAGAAGTATGTCCTTTTGTTTGTTTTAAACCTACTGACTATTAATTTCATTGGGTGACCACTTGTTCTTGTGCTATGTGAAGAAGAAAATAACACTTCCTTATTCACTTTTTCCACACCATTCATGATTTTATAGACCTTTATCATATTCTCTCCGCCCCCTTAGTTGTCTCTTTTCCAAGCTGAAAAGTCCCTGTCTTTTTAATTTCTCCTCAGAGGGAAGCTGTTCCATACCCTTAATCATTTTTCTTGCCATTCTCTGTACCTTTTCCTATTCTAATATACCTTTTTGAGATGGGGCAACCAGAACTGCATGCAATATTCAAGGTGTGGGCATACCATAGATTTATATAGTGGCATTATGATATTTACTATCTTATTTTAGTGGATGTTTTCAGAGAATTATCCATGATAAACCGCCAAGATCTCTTTCTTGATTGGTAACAGCTAATTTAGAAACATAAGTAGCTACCATTTATTTAAATGGCTGTACTGACCAAATTAAACCAGAGTGCTTTTCAGTGAGGCCAAAAGCAAAGTGGAAAAACACTGCTTGGAAAGTTTTAGTTACATATATTGCTTATGCTGCAGGAATAGCTCCACGTATAACAAATGGAATTATACTGAAAATTTGTAAAACTGAGTTCTCTCAAAACAGAGTTATTAACCAGGAATGTAAATAAAGAAATAAAAGAGATAACCTAATCGCGTCTTCCTAGACATTCCCTGATCTACTTACATATCTGGGGTTTCAAATGAGTAGTTTTTCTAGGTATGATACAGACGATTTTTCATACCTGGCCCAAAGCTTCTTACAGCATCGCTGCTCTGTCCCCCTCTTTCTGGGAGAACAACAGAGACAGGCAAAAGGGGAATCTTGTTTCAATTTTAAAAAGTTCTAGCCTTCCCACTGGCTCTTTTGGCCAGATGCCCACTCAATTCCTTTTACCTATGCATAGCAGCGAGACTTTTTAACCCTTTACAGGTAAAGCAAGTAGAGAACAGCTACTAAGAGGGATTTTATAGCTAACTGGCTGGCTGGGTGTCCATAAAAGGAAGCTACCTCCCTCCCCTTTATTTATCATAAATGTTCAAAACAAAGATAAGAAATTGTTGCAAATCTCTGTCCTGATTATGTGCAGGGTTTGTGTAAAGAGTGTGAAATGTGTGTTTTACAAAATATGCCCCATCTACCAGGTACAGACCATTATAGGCATCACTTTGACTTTGAAAACACGTCAAAGAAGATAAATGAGAAAGATTTATTAGATTTAAAGTAATGCAAAGAAATTGTGAAATCCTCTGTTTATTGAAAACATCCCAGAGGCATTAGGTGCCTAACTTTGAGACAGCTGACCAGCTGCATTGTGGTGTCCCGGATTGCTTGACAGCATATTGGCCTTCCTTTCTGTATTACTCTGTTTGTTTTGTCTTTTACTCATAAATTGATTAAACCTATGTTATTTGACATCTCGTGTTATAATCTAAATCGAACCCATAACAGTTGGATGCCTGGTAGCTGATATATTCAGTGGCATGGTAATGAAAATGCTGTCTCTAAATAAGGCATCATGATCCTAACACTTATGTTGTTCTTTTCAGTACTACAGTAGTTAGGAGAGGCAGCTTTATAGTTCTGTGAAAGACAAGCCACAAGTGGTTGGGTGAGTTTTACATAAAAATAAAATTTCTCATAAAATATGAGTGTATTTTCATTCATACTGTATGAAGGATGTAATCCAACACCTTTGTACAAGATGTTTAAATAAATGCTGACCAGACATATTCTTTACATCTGTGTTGGATTTTGTTTATAATGCTGTGGTAACAATTATTATAGTGGTGCGGGAGTGCCACTATAGTTAAGTTTGCATCATGACATCTATTTAAAGGTATACCTTTCTAACTCCTCTAAAACTGACACGCTTAGTCAGATTTTCTTTAAAATTTGGTGTGCCTCAGGAGGGTATAGGGTAGGGTTAATCATCTGGAGTCATTTGAGCCAGGGTTTCCAGAGATATAAACCCTGACAAAATTAACATTTAAAAAAAATTGTAGATGTTTGGGGGTTTTTTGCCCAGAGCTAGAGATCAACTTATTAATGTGATGTGGATCAAATGGTCCAGGTCTGTTGAGTTTTATCCAAGATAGTGCATGACACCCACTACATCTTTGGTGGGACTCAAGTTGAGAACAGTATTTTAGGAAATTGTACATTTTAACACTGCTCATGTGACAATACAGTAAAATGGCCTGAGGGTTTCCATTCCTGCCATTTGAATGCTCAGAAGTTCAACTCTTGTAAGTGCTTTAAAATATGAATGGTTAATCAGATTCCTTTGTAATTTGGTGAGCCTCATGTGGTTGCGGGGCAGCATTAGTGATCCAAACTTGGGATCATTTGACCAAGGAATTCCTGAGTTACAACTTCTTCCCCCCCCAAAAACCCCCACATGGTTTCCTTCTGCTGGTACTGTTAAACTAAGAGGTATTAATGACTGGATGAACGAACAGTCCCCTGGCTGGCTGTGAATTCATCCTTCAGTGAATGCATCTATTCTAACCTATGACAAAAAGGAATTTTGAACTGAATAGGGGAAGGTTTCTACAATTTGTGAGTAATGGGTGGCAATTTTATTTTGGGGGGAATGTAATCCAAGTAATTTTGGGGAAAAAAATAGACATGTGAATGTTTCATGGAAGGGGAGGGATAGTAGAAGGTGGGGGAATGGGGAAAATAGGAGTAGAGGGGTTTGGGGCTTCAGTGAGGGAAAGCAAGAGGTTTGGCATACCCCAGCTCTGCCAGTGTACCTCAACCCCCCTGTGCACCTCCAGCTCCGCCAATGCACCCCAAGCCCTTGCAGCCTCAACAGTGCCAGTACACCCCAAGTCCCTGTACTCCAACCTTTCTGCACCCCACACTTCTGCCAGTGCACCCCAACAGTGCAAGAAAACTATTAATAATTGTTGGAAGAACATTAATTGCGAAACTGGATGGTTCATGGCTGATCAGAAAATGTGAACTGTGTGGCATAGAAATATTACAATATGACAGCTCAGTGGATTCTTCATAAAGAAAGAAAGATCGTACTTGATTTGGATGTTTGCTTTCCTGTACTATGCACTATTCACATAATTAGTTACAATAGTCATTTATTCTTGCCTGAATAATAATCAATTTAAGGATTAAGGTGAACAAAAAGATAACTGTTGTTTAAGAATGGTGTGAACTGGTGAACAAAACTTTAAGATCTGTAGAAGATATGATTCCACAGTAGTAACATTCTGCTCTAGAAGATACTGTTTTAAAAAATATTTTGGAGCACTTCTTTAAATGTGTTTTTATTTTGTTGCAAATTGCAGCAAACCCCCAAAAGTAAATATATGCAAAAAATTATGTCAATACAATATTAAGGTTGAGATTTGAATTGCACTGAACACAGGAAGTTCCCATCACCTTAAGTCTACTTCCTTGTACATAACATATTTCAAAGCGACTTTCACTACTTGATCAGTCCACATTGCATAATGTTGCATTATATCGCAATGAATACAAAGGAAGTGTACTTTATTCTAACTATAAATGCACATCTTTACCAAAAGCAGATTTGTAATATTGCCCTTTGGATGATATCTATGGCAACTCAACTGTGTGCTCCTGGTTTATATTTGAATTGCACCTCTTTCTAAAGCCTTGGATGCACATTTTATTCTTTTAATGTGATCATAAAATACATACATGCAAGAGGGAGAGTTAAAGTTGTGGTAAATTCTTAATTTTAAATGCCCTCACTTACATGTAATTAAATTTGCAGCCTTAATGTTGCATAAATGTAGCTTTTGGCATATAATAAAAAAATGACTTACTGGGAAAAAGGAGCTTTCTGAAGCTGGCATCCATTAATCTTTCACATTCTTGGGCGACATTATCCTTCATTGTGGAACACTGGAAGCTGTGAGGAAAGTTCAAGAATTTTCCTCCGTCTTCAACATGTGTTCCCTGAAGGATGTTTATACCGTGCATTCATGTCTTCCAGCCTTTAAAGCCTTCGATTCCCTTTTTTTTTTTAGCTCTAATATAGTAGCTTTTTTTTTTTAATCATCAGTGAGGTGGGAAAGTAAACATGGATGCAGTTCTTCAGTCAACTCCATTTACAGTATATGATAGTCGATTTCCTTTTGCCAAAAGGTGTATGTTACAGATAACCAATCTCTAGGAGACCAGAAGCATGTCTTGATTAAGTAGAACACAAAGTCTTAAAAAATAAACTAAATAAAATAGATTTTATTCTGAAAAAAATAGGGCATAAAGCCTTGATACATAAGTAAGAGCAGAGCATGGCCAAGTTGAACAGTGTATTCTTGCACAGAGACCAAATCATGGCTGAAATTTCTGTTCTTTTTGCGGATACAGACTAACACGGCTGCTACTCTGAAACAACACTTGATTTTATCCTTAGCCATCATTTGTAATCACCACCAAAACCACTAGTAATAAATATACTATTTTTAAAATTTATAAATAAAGCAAGTGTAATAGTTTCACCCTTGATGCTCGTGGGATCCTTGTCCACATAAGAAAACAATTATATTATTCAGAATGTTTAGGAATCTCTTCTCACGAGAGCATCCAGGACTAGAACAGAATGAGTGGTAGATAGGTAATAGAGAGGGAACGCTGTCATCCACCGGTTAAAGCACTGGACTTGGAAGTCAGGAGATACGGGTTTTACTTGCTAAGGGTTATGTCTACACTAAAGCACTGAAGGCTTGCCACATGTTGTTTCTCAGGCCCCTCTACCATCCATACTCAAAGCCTTTAAACACACGTCTAGGCATGTGTTGAACCTCTGCTGGCATCCTCAGCTAGGAAGTATGTTGCAAAGCCCACATTGAGCTGTGAGTCACACCACTACCCACTCACTTTGGAATGTGGAGGTAGCAACTGCACAGGTACCGGGGCTTCTGTTTCGATAGACCACCAATGCCATTCCTACAATTTCATGTACTTTTATCTTCTGTGTCCCTTTACTTAATCACTTCCTATTTACCCCTTATCCACCAGAAGCTACCTGCCATTTATATACCCTTGCTCAGCGTTTAATGCAGCCTGGTCCAGTTTCTATGCAGCTCAACCCAGCTCTGCCGAACAGCAAAATGCCCACCCACCCAGTGTACTGCTAGCCTGCCAGAGGAGCAAACCAGAGGTTTTAGTTAACTTCTGGTGTGAGTAAAGACACAATCTCAAAGCAGGTGGACGAGCTGGCATGCACCAGACTGGCGTGCAAAGCAGGGAGTGCATCAAGTACTGAAAACCCTCTACCACAAGACTAAGAATGGCAATGGCAAGTCTGACAACTGCCCCTCTACAAGCCCCTTCTACAAGGAGTTTGTCTGGGTCCTTACTATCACCCTTAGAGAAGCCACTGTCCTCCACAACATATTTCTGAACATGCATGGTCTTGTGATCAGACTGGAAGACAGTGGGGATGGCACCAGAGAAGACCATGGTGGAGCAGGGATTAGAGTCCCAGGAACAGACTGTGGAGCTGGAAACCCAGCCATATCACCCTGAACTATTAAAATAATTTGTGCTCAAATGGTAAATATTGAATACTGGGTGCTCTCTTCACCACTTCTGTCCTTTCTTCATATAATATGAATTGCACTTCACAGTTCCCTCTTATTCAACCCCCCATTATGGTCTTCTCAAAGAATAATTCACCATGCATAACTTTTGTGCCCCTGTCTTAATTCCTGGGAGGTCAACCTCATACAGTAAGAAAAAAAGAGAAAGACTAACTGGGAGAAAATCTAGCATCTAAATTTTAAAGTCTTCTTTTTAATAAATATACTGTTTTACTATAGAATACATGCCGACAGTAACAATTACTATAGTCACATAATGCTTTCTGATAGAATAACAAATTAGCAACATCAATAAACTTTACCTAACACACAAGGTGTGAGGCACACAGACTTGCATTAAAAAACCTGAACCCCAAAATTGTGATTTTAGGAGCAAAAGACTTTTTTACTCTGACTGAGTTGAAGTCCAACCTTTCACACAGATTGTGTGGGTCAACAAGATACTATTCGAAAGTTATGGGGCTGAGAATCAAAATATAAAGGTTAAGTTATAAGAATGTCTGTAAACAGAAACCATCCCCCTCATGGCTGAGTAAATGTATGATTGGTGTATTCCTATGATTTTATTTCCAACTTTTTAAAAATTATTTTTGAGTCAGGGCTTTTTAGGATAGTCGAATAATGCCTGTAGACTGACCTTTGACCTCAAATGTTTCAAAATACACCTAAACTTGCTGACCAAGTCACTGAGTATATTTTGGATCTATGGACTTTCCTGAACTTGAAATTACTAGAATGGGGAGGCACTTTGTTTGCATAAAGGTGACCTAACCTGCCCCTAACTAGGTAATGCCAATGGCCTCAGAACAGGAGAGAAGCTCCTGAGAGGAGTTCCAAAGCGGGGCGGGGGGGGGGGGGAGAAGAGAAGGGAACAGGGGGGCGGAGGGCAGGACCAGCCAAACCACCAGCTTCAAAAACTGAACATTAGGAAGACGACCTGCTACTGGCTTCTGGCTTGTTTGCCTGCAATGGCTGCTAGCATCTGGCTACAGAATGCCTAACTAAGAGGCCGGTGCTTCCTCCATTGTCCCAGCAAGCCCACCAATGGGTAGGAGTCCAGCAACATGCAACATTTAAGATTCAGCATCTTCAAGCAAGTAACCTCTAGGCAGCCAGCAAATGTGTCAACATTAAACATCAAAGCCAGTAGGACCAATGGCTAATCTTTTCAACCATGTACCAGATTCGTGAGGCTGAATGAAACCACAAGAATTGTGACAACCATCCTGCATAAGTATCCGTCTCTTTGGTTTTGTTTTCTTTTCTCATATTTTTTATTACCAGAAGGATGTGTCTACCATAGAATTCTTGCACTTGTTTTTAACTCCAGCAGATGGCTGGTAGCACATATAAGAGTACAGAAGTGTGTGGATAGAACCCATAGAATCTACTTAAAAACAACCCCTACAGAGCAGTTCCTCAAATACCTGAGACAGCCCTAGGTTAAACAACTTTGTCGTCTAAAAGATCTCACATACATATATTTCATGGGTTAGGAGCTGTATGTTTAATCCTGACAAATCATGTTATTTACACCTAAATTTGTCACTCACATATTAAGTTGTGTCATCCTGAATTGTACTGGACTGTTTCATGTAACCCTATGTTGGGGGTAGAAAATACTGGTTATTACCTAACAACTAATAATTTAGGCAGGCTACCTTAATTAGCTTCAACCTGAATGTGATTTGATCCTCCCTGTATCAGCTATTTGGCTGGAACCTAAATAGATCATCTAGTAATGAGCTTGATAAAACCCTGTTATTTGGGGGGGTGGAGGTGGGGAGCAGATAGCTAACCAAGATTGCTGCTTCCCAAGTTATTACATAGAGTTTATTTGGAATCGTTGGTTTATTTGAATGAAGTTTTTTTATAAGACACTCTTGTATACAAATGAAATATATTTTTACTTAATCTGAAGCCATTAATATGAAAGGAAGAAGGTAGTTTGGATAAGAATGCAAGATAATTCATGTTAGGTAATTTTTTCCAAGTAGTTATTATTTTTCATAAAATGATGATAATTTTAACCTAAATATAGTAACATGAAGTAGAAACAGTTTGGATAAGAATGCAACACTATGTAATTCTTTCCTCAGCAAATAGTTAAGTTTCCATATAGCCACAATAATTTATAATGATGGCATTCTAAATGTTCCCTGAATACCAACAGTGTGAAGGCTCCCTGACATTCAGGGAGAAATAAGGGAGTACAGTGCATTTGTTTGGGCCACTTGGGATTGAAGGAATACTTTTAAACTTGGCATTTTTAAGTCATGAAAAAGTTGAGCGGATTATAAATGGATTAAGGTGGGTCAATTTGGGGGATCTTGTTAAATTCTGAAAACTGGAACTATTCAGCTTTTATATTTCTCTGGAGATTTCACAAACATTTAGTTATAAGAACTACAAACAATTATCCTAGTATGTTAGCTTGTTGATTAACTATTAAGTTAATTTAATTAACATACAGCTTCAGTCTTGAAAAATTGAGAACTTACTTCGGTCTCTGTGAAATTTTCGGCATGTTTTTACAGCAACAAAGATATCCTCTTTCTTCACTGGGTCTCCCTATAAGGAAATGGAAAAATGAATGTTGTAATTGCAGGCACTGCTTTTAACGTTACATTGTGTACACATGTATGTTTTGGAAATAAAACAGAAAATACCTTTGCATTGTATAGTGTATGAAGCAGCATAGTGTACAGTGCTAAGTAGTACAGTTCAAAATACATTTTCTACCTGTCAAGATATGGCACCAGTATTTGCAAATGATTGAAATAACATTGTCCAATGATTGTTTTCAAATGATGTAGTATTATAGTTGGAGCCAGAAATACAAATCATTAAGAAAGAAAATGAATAGGAGGACTTCATGTACTAACACTGATACAAACAAGTGACATTTTAACAAAATAATTGTTGTAATATAGGATGCAGAAACTGCAGGATGTTGGGAAGCAGAAATTTAAAAAGGATTACATATCAGAAAAAACTGTTTTGGTGTAAGCAATATTCATAAAGTTATGCTGCATTCATTGACACAGAGACAATAATTAACACATTTGTATAGTTATTGGTGTGCAAAGCACTTTAAAGCACACCGTCTCCAAGAATTTAAAATCTAAATTAGATAAACACTGACAAAGAACAGTACAAGAAAAGCCATAAAAATATTGCTTTCGTACTTTTTTTCTTTGTTATGATATTTTGTTTTAGGTGCTTTGGAATTTTTCACTATTTGTATTTGTTTTTAAATGATCACATGCCAGAGGGAAAGAAGAAATCACTGAAGTGGAGATTTGTGGTGAAAAGCTATCTGAAAGTAATGAGTTCTGAGGTGGAAGTCAGGATTTTATCTCACCAGCCATTAAATAATATGGTAGTACGATTGTTTTCTTTTCCACTGAGTATTTTAATTTAAAAATGCCTTACTAATACTACTTTGTAATTGTACAGCACCTTTGTACTGAGAGAATCCAAGTGCTTTATATAGAAAATTGATTATTATTGACTCTATTTCCAGACAGTGAAACTAAGGGACAGAGAGGTTAAAGGACTTGCCCAAAGTCTCACAGTGAGTCAAGAGAGGTGCTTGGTAAAGTAAGACTGGTCTTCAGACTCCTATTGTTCTGCTCAAACAGACAGGGTGAGAGCATCACCCAGCTCCAGCCCCTTTATATACTGGTAGAAGGGCCAGAGCAATGTAAAGGATCCCTAAATGCACTGGATATGCTTGGGAGAGGATTCTTCCAACACACGAACTGTGGAAGATAGACATAAAGCTGCCTTGCAAGGACTACCGCAGAAGTATTGGCATAGGGGGCATGCTGGGCTGGGGAGCATTGAGGGCTGCAGCCTATAGGACAGCTATAGGAAGCTGCCATTACATAGACAGGCCTTAGGACTCTGGAGGTCACAAAGATGGTTTAATGCCACATTAGGTCCCCCGTTACCATGGGATGCAAGCTCTGTGCTATCTTCTCAGAGTAGGACAGTCCTCAAGGACCACATTTTATCACAGGAGTAGGCAAACTTTTTGGGCAGAGGGCCACATCTGGGTGAGGAAATTGTATGCAGGGCCGGGACAAGGCATTGGGGTGCGGAATGTAGGAGGGGGTGCGGTGTGCAGAAAGGGGCTCAGGACAATGGATTGGGGCGGAGAAGGGGTGCGGTATGTATGAGGGGGCTCGGGGTGCAGGAAGGGGCTCAGGGCAGGGGTTGGGGTGCACAGGGGTGCAGGGTGCAGCAGGGAGCTCAGGGCAGGGGGTGGGGGTGCAGGAGGGGTGCGGGGTGTACGAGGGGGCTCAGGGCAGGGAGTTGGGGTGCAGGAGGGGTGCAGCAGGGGGATCAGGGCAGGGGTGCAGGAGGGGTGCGAGGTGCAAGCAGGGGGCTTAGGGCAGGGAGTTGGGGGAAGGGGTGCAGGAGGGGTTTGGGCTCCGGCCTGGCACCATTTATCTAAAGTGGCTCCGGGGTGGCAGCGGCGCACACCAGGGCTAGGGCAGGCTCCCTGCCTGCCTGCCCTGTCCCTGGCCCTGCGCTGCTCCAGGAAGCGCTGCAGCCCCTGGAGAAGGTGGGGTAGAGGTGGAAGGCTCCATGTGCACTGCCCTTGCTGCGCCTCCAGATACCTCCCCCGAAGATCCCATTGGCCGTGGTTCCCCGTTGCTGGCCAATGGGAGCTGCGGGGGGTGGGGCCTGGAGGCAAGGGCAACGCAAGGAGCCCTCTGCTCCCTCACCCCTCCCCGCCCGGGGGCTGCAGGGACATGGTGCCGGCCGCTTCTGAGAGCGGCGCGGGGCCCACAGCGCCATGGGGGGCAATCCCGCAGGCCGAATTCAAAGCCCGGGCAGGCCATAGTTTGCCCACCCCTGGTTTATCACCTCTGAACTGCCATAGAGATTATTGTTGAGATGCAAAGCACTGCTTCCCTCAAGCACTACCAAACTAAGAAATGATAAACTTGGTGTGACAGTCCCCGCCCCCGGGTGCAACCTGGAACTGGGGTACCACTGAGTCTCTGACATACCAACCTGGGCCCTCTCTCACACTGTGAAGACTATGACAAGCTGCAGATCGCTTCCGGTCCTGCACTCACACAAACCTTTACACAGGCAGGGACACACCCAGCTGCAGTTACATAGAGGCTTCTCCCCCAACTCCACAGCCTAGGACCCCAGAGCTGTACTGTGTTGTCCTGGTCAAAAGCCGGACCTGTAAGTTTATTTCCCAGTCCACTCCTGCCTCAATGTGGACAGGACAATGCACCAGTTTTTGTTCCTGAGCATATTCCCTAAGCACTTCTAGCAAAACACACTGTTTTAGATAAAAAAAGATAAAACAAATTTAACTGCAGAAAGATAGATTTTGATTATAAGTAGTGAGCATACAGATCAAAGCAGATTACCTAAGAAATAAACAGAAATGCAATCTAGGCCTTATAAATTAGATAGGATTTGAATCAAGTGGTGTCTCACCCTGCTAGCTAGTACAAGCAAGTTACAACTTTTGTATACACAGGCTGGAATTCTCTCCCGCCTGGGCCCCTCTTCCCCAGGTCCCCAGTCTTTGTTCCTAAGGTGTTTCCAGGTGTTGTGCTGTAAAGGGAGTGAGGCCAAGTGACGACACTTCCCCCTTTTATATCTTCTTCCAGCTTGCTAGAAAGATCTTTTGCTCTGACATGAGTCAAACAGTCTCCCTTGGCTATGTGCTATCTCTGAGAGGTTTCCATTGTACACAGTTCCTGGGGTAATCCTTGTGAGTGCATTCTCCTCCATGGGCCACCAATGCTGTTTGACCTTTTATTTGTTGTATGTGAAAGGCTGCTTGTGGGTGTTCCCAACCTCACAACATGTTTCAGTGGCACATATATAGCAAAACTTCATAACTTCATATACAATGATAGCACATACAACTTAATGTTCAGATTAAGACTTTTAAAATGATACCTTACAAGGCATACTTTGTACAAAACATATCATAATTATATCACCATGGTGAATATGGGGTGCAGAGTATCACTTCGGGGCAGAGAGTGTCACACTTGGTTTTCTCTCACAGCAGTTTCTTCTAGCTCTATCATCTTTTGCTATACATGCTAAATCCTTGACAAAAAGCTTACAATCTAACCAGATGACTAACAAATTAAGAATGGGGGAAGGGATAGATCAGGGAAGTTCATGTGTGTGTCTTCTTAGCTCCAAGTATTTTTTTTTTTCTAGGTTTGCTATTATCCGCTTAGCTCACATTTCTTGTGGGGAACACAAGGGTTTGTAAACCTACCTTAGTGCACTACATTCAAATTAATACCCTCACTATCTAATTCTTATATAATGAATAAGCCGTAGATCTCAAAGTGCTTTACAAAGGATGTAAGTATCGTTATTCCCATTTACAGACAGGGAAACAGTGGCACAGCAAGTGAAGTGACTTGCCCAAGGCCACTCTGCAGGCCAGCAGCAGAGCTGAGAATACAACCCAGGACTCCTCAGAACATGGTGCACTGCTCTAGCCACTGACCTACACTGATAGTTCTAAGGATTCTAAAAAGAAAACTGAAAACATATCACTTACCATGGCAGAACACCAATAAGTTATAATAAACTATTCAACATAGTTAAATGGGCTAGGTAAAAGGAGTAGAATTACACCTCTACTCTGATATAACGTGACCCGATATAACATGAATTTGGATATAACACGGTAAAGCAGTGCTTCGGGGGGGCCGGGCCTGCGCACTCTGGCGGATCAAAGCAAGTTTGATATAATGCAGTTTCACCTATAACACGGCAAGATTTTTTGGCTCCCAAGGACAGCGTTATATCAGGGATATAACAGCACTGACATCACTTTACATTTAAAAAAAAAGGTCACAAGGCCACAGAATTAAATAGTGCATGCAATACTTTCATCAAATAGCTTCTGGATAAATAAAAATGAGGACAGGTAATAATCTTACTAGGTCTTGTGTTTTCAATTCTATTGAAGGGTACATGATATGGAACTATCCAGTTAACAGAGAGGAAGAACAATCCAGTGGTTAGAGTGTTAGTGTGGGATCTGGAAGACCAGTGTCTAACAGACTTCCTATGTGATGTTGGGCAAGTCACTTAACATCTCTCTGCCTCACTTTTCCATTCATAAAATGGGTAAAATAGCACTTACCTTGCTCACAGGGATGTTGTGAGGCAAATACATTAAAGATTCTGAAGTGCTCAGATACTCTGGTAATGGGGGAACATGAGTGCCTTAGATAGATCAATCATGTCTATCAGGAAATACAATGTGTAATAGAGGTCTGAGTGTGTAAGAGACAGTAGGAGAATGGTACCCCAAATGTTATATTTTCCCCCCTTAATTTGGTAAAAATATTTTCTCCAGGTCCCTGAGATTTTTTGTAAGTAAAGTTTCAGCCTTTGTAATAACAATGCTTTCTCTAGCAAGTAAGTATAATTTAAAATATGATACTTACGCAAACTGGTAGGAAGTTACTGAACATTGTGGCACAGTGAACAGCCTTATATGAGTTCAAGTCATCCGTACAAAACTCAGGCACTGGAGTAAGATGTGGTCCATTGCCTTTCTGCCAAATATATAATGCAATCTATCAAAATATACAACATAAGTAGTAATGAGTAGTGGAATTAAACAACAATTTTCATAATATACCCAGAAATCATTGTTATAAAGCAAATTAATAAAACATTACAGAAGAAACAGAGAAATAAAGAGGATTCTGTAGAGACTGTGTATATGAATTAACTCATTTATTTAACTTTGCATTTTGATTTTAAAATCAAAGCACAATTTTCACTTAAAAATATTCTCTGCCATAACTTGAAATTTTTAAAAATAGCTCCAGGCACTCCAAATTGCCAAAACAAGTGTAAATATATAAGAAAAAAAAGCAAGGGTACAGGAGAAAGGAAGGGGACTGAATACATTTATCCGCACCTACTCTTAAATATAAGATAAACTTTATTTTTTGTGTTGTTCTTTGCAATTAATTTTGGTGATATGGAATGCTTAATTCTGTTTGTTTTAATGTCAACAATAAATAGATTTTAAAAAGACCTGTTCTCTGATGATAATTTCAAATACTCAAAAATGAACACTAAACAACCATGGAAGTACTGAAAGATCCTTTTGTCTATTGTAAACTGAAAGATTACCAGAATGCTAGCAAACGTTGTTAAAGAAAGAGAAAGTAATACAAGGACAAAGTCTGAAGTAAAGACAAAGGTTCATCTTGTCTCCACCTATCTTGAATTAATTATACTCCATGTTGTAAATTATTATATGTGGAGCTGTTAGCACCACCTCTAATTAAGGTTACTTGACATTTCCCATTTTAAGTCCCTGTTTTCAGTTGCTGTTAACTTCAACTAACTGAGATGAAATTTTCTATGCTGGATGTCTGCATCAGGCTGATTCCTTCCCTCCCTCCTTTTTGAAAGTTTCAGCTAAAATGTTTCAGAGAACAAAAGGAGGGGGAAATATGTTCTGTTATAATTTATAAAATTCTTTCCAATTCTTTCTTTGCTCACATGCTCACAGTATAACTGATTGCCATATGTGGGGTCAGGAAGGAATTTCCCCCGAGATCAGATTAACAGTGACCTTGTAGGGTTTTCACCTTCCTCTGCAGCATGTGGGTGCAGGTCACTTGTCAGGATTATCTGGGTCTCTCTCACTTACTCATTTCCCTGCCCTTACGGGGGGCCTCGGGTACTGTGCCCCTCAGTCCCTCTTATTCTCTGCCTGTGGCACATAGTCTCCTGTAGGCTATAATACTTTGGTCTAGTTTCAGTTGTTGTCAGTTGTGAGGGTGATGTTGGTGTCCTGAAATACACAGGAGGTCAGACTAAATCAGGGGTCTCAAAGTCCCACGGGCCATCTGCGGTCCGAGAACCTCCCCACTGCAGCCTGTGGAGGAGAGACGCATGCAGCCACGCTGCTGGCAATGTCTGCTGCATTCGCCGCCCCCCTAGTGGCTGGGGAGAGGGATAGAGATACCATCACTAGTTGCCGAGCAGAGTCAGCCAGGGAGGTAGCATCATTAGTTGCCAGCCAGAGTCAGCCATGGAGGTAGCATCACTTTTTTCCACAATGAATATAAACAAGTCAAAATACCAAACACAACTATCTGATGCATACCTTGCTGCAATCCTGAAGGTTTCAACTGCTCAGTCACTGAGGCCAAACATCAACAAACTGTCAGAACTGAAGCATTGCCAGGTGTGTGGCAAACACTAAAAACTCTCTGGCAGGCAAAGAATTGTATAAAGTTGTATGACAGTTTTATTATTTCTGAGAAATTTGAAATAAAAAATACAATATAAATGTTTTCTTTTCTGAACACCATCTTCAGTGACATTACTGGCCTGCTGGGAGGATTTGAGGACTGGCACTAGCCCAAGGTAAATTGAGTTTGAGTCCCCTGGACTAGATGATTTGATGATCCCTTCTGGCCTTAAACTCTGACTCTGAACTACTTCATTGAGAAGCTCCAGCAACTCCATGTTTTGAAGCAAGGACTTGATTTTGGCCATCCCCATGAAAAGTCTCACAAATTTGGCCAAGTTATAAAACCTAAAAAACAAAACAAACAAAACAACAAAAAACCCACAACAACCCTCAGTTTGCATATACTCAATAGAGACTTTTGACAGCTAAATTCTCCTAATATACTATCTGCACTGAATAATGCTCTATCCTGGGAATGCAGGGGGATAGCAGAATTTCCCTGCAAATACTCTTCCTGACATCTGGGGGGGCTGCAAGCAGCAAGTCACTTAAACCAACATATTCATTGCTGGTCACTAAAAGTGTGTTCTTCAGATTTGTAGAATTGGTGAACACTCAACTCCAACTGAAGTTGGCTGGAAGCTTGCTTTGAACATATGAAGTGCTATAAAAAGGCTAAGTACACTGAAAAATAAGGACCTAGGTTTCTCAAGTTGGTCTCCAAAAATTAGTGAGCACTTGGACCTTAATCTCACTGTGCCTCAGTTCCCCAGATGTAAAATTGGGATAGTAATTCTAATGGGGACAATATCACCTAATCTCACAGAAATGTTGTGAAAACAAACTCTTTAATGTTTGTGACACCCTCAGATATTATAGTGAGAGCGCCACAGAAACACCCAGGAGAAAATCAATAATTTTGTATTCAGCACAGCATAGGCTAAGTGTGCATTAAATAAAGCGTGGGGCTCCACTGAATGTGGAGGATAAAACAGCATTCTAAGATTCACACTGAAAATGAAAGGTATTTTATGGAATGCCGTTCTAAAAGGCCTTCTTGCAGAAAACCATAAATGAACACAGTATGTGTGCTTAATGACAAAAAAAGTCATATCTGTAAGACAGACTGTGTTCCATCTGGAAAGCCACAGCAGAGTAGTGAATGTAGACAATATTAGGAAGAAGACTAATGAATGGGCAAGCAGCTAGACCTAATAGACATAAAGGTGAAATAAAAGCACTTAAGGCAAATGATGTCACTTGGATTCTACCTTACTGAAGGTACATGAGCATAATACAATTCCTTTCCCCCTCAACAATGATAAAGCAAAATAGAAGAACGTGGTAATCACTCTTCTGTCACATCTCCCTTATATCTCCAGCTTTTCCAGTCTTCACTGAAATCTAAACGTATTGGGATTAATGAATGAGGGGATTCATGAGGGCAGGATTGTAAACTAAGATCATATATTTAACATCTTCATAATTTAGACTCTATAATACCAATATTAAAGATATTAGATTGTATCCTTTGATTTATTGGCAGCCAGTGTAATTTATGGAGGATGTATGTAACCAGCCCTTTACTTCTATTTGAAGAAGCAAGCGAGAGTTTACCATTTCAATTGTTACAGCCTTGGGGTCAATTAGTGTGTGTTACAGTAACCTAGGGCTGGTCCACACTAACCCCCCACTTTGAACTAAGATACGCAACTTCAGCTACGTGTTTTAGTTCGAACTTACCGCAGGCCCACACGCGGCAGGCAGGCTCCCCCGTCGACTCCGCGTACTCCTCTCGTGGAGCAGGAGTACCGGCATTGACGGCGAGCACTTCCGGGATCGATTTATCGCGTCTAGACAAGATGTGATAAATCAGTCCCAGAAGATAGATTGCTGGACCCGGAGGTAAGTATAGACATACCCCTAGTGTGGGTGTGGCAAAGCAGGATTGCCCCAGGAAGGTCTGCATCAGAGAGAAATAGAGGGACTTTCTGGATAAACCAGAAATGGTGGTAATGACTCTTGACCACCATCCAAATATAAACTTCTTTTCTCAGAAAACGGTGATGGATTTCCATTCCCCCCCCCCCCCCACACACACACACACTCACACTTCCACAAGTTCCCAAATCTATTTGACTAGCATTAGCTGTACTGCCTGAA